TGATTGACTTACGCATGCACACAAAATGTGGGCAGTGTAACAGTAGCCTGACACAATATATGCATATAACACACATTTCACTATACAGACTCAGTATGCACAGAGTATTTTATGATTAGTGAAGAACCCTGGGACACAACTTAGACAAGCTGTGTCCTAATTCCTGGTTAATTCCAATAACATTTGGTATTTCATAACTCGCATTTCTGCTATTAATTAGTAGTATACACTGCCGTTCAAAAGTTTCATCAGTACGATTTTTAATGTTTTTTTAAAGAAGTTTCTTATGCTAAGGCTGTATCTATTTGATCAAAAATAGACTTTTTTTTTTAATTTGTGAAACATTACTGCAATTTAAAATAGGCTAAGAGTTTTCTGTTTTAATACTTTAAAACATAATTTACTCCTGTTAGTAGTATACACTGCCGTTCAAAAGTTTCATCAGTACGATTTTTAATGTTTTTTTTAAAGAAGTTTCTTATGCTAAGGCTGTATCTATTTGATCAAAAATAGACTTTTTTTTTTAATTTGTGAAACATTACTGCAATTTAAAATAGGCTAAGAGTTTTCTGTTTTAATACTTTAAAACATAATTTACTCCTGTGAAACAAAGCTGAATTTTCAGCATCACTACTCCAGTCTTACGTGTCACATGATCATTCAGAAATCTTTCTAATATGCTGATTTATAATCAATGTTGGAAACTGCTTAATATTTTCGGGGCCTGTAATACTTTTTTCATGATTCCTCGATAAACAACAAGTTCAAAAGATCAGTGTTTACTGAAAATATAAATTGCTACAATATACAGTACTGTTGAAAATGTGGGGGTCGGTACATTTTCCTTTTTTTTTTATAAAATCTATACTTTTTATAAACTTATCATTTGTATTTTGAATACATGCTGTTCTTTTTGAACTTTTTATTTATCAAATAAAGCAAAGAAAAAAGTATCACAGGTTCCAAAAAATATTAAGTAGCACAACAGTTTCAACACTGATAATAAATCAGCATATTAGAAAGAAAATGTAACAAATTCTGTATTTTTGATCACATAAATACAGCCTTGATGAGCATAAGAGACTACATTAAATAACATTCAAAATCTTACCGATCCCAAACTTTTGAACGATTACTTCCTGAAACATGTGAAATATTTTTGGTCAAAATTGCTTTTTTTTAACCAAAGAAAACCAAAATGTGCACTCCGAAACGCCAAATGTGAAAGATCATCGCTGGTTCTTCAAATATAATATTTTTTAAGACAGATGCTGTTAATTTGAAAATAGATTTTGATCAAACTCGCTGAAAATGCTATTATTGTGCATGTTTACAAATGGTTACAAAACTACAAAAGCCTGGTTGTAATGCCAAAACCGGTGTGATGTTTATTTTATATGACTGAAAAAGACACCACAAAAGTTACACAGCATGGATCCAAGCTGAAGTAAGCAATGAAGCAAACGGTAATGAAGAACTTTAGTTAGGAAAGCAGATAAACATGCTGTTAGCATAAGCTGTCATCTTTCAAATGCATGAAATGAAAGAAATGCACAAAGTGGATCACAAACGCACCTTTCGGAATTCCTATGACCGTGTTTACTGCAGATAAATACAAGTAAAGGTCTGAATTAGCTGTCTAGTTGTGTCCACCACCCAGCCTGGGGAGCTTCTCTTTCCCAAACTGTCGCACTAATGTCTTTAAACAATACTTAACGGCATTACGTCGAAATATCCGGTGGTATCGATAAACACACATTGAATAAACAAACGTCTGACTATATTCGCGTTAAAACGCTTGCATTATTCAAAGGATTTAAGGGTTTCTGTTCAAACGCGGAAGTGAACCTAAACGGGCGCCACATGTGACTGAAGGCGGAAGCTGAAGTGCCGCACGTGAACATGGGATATTGAGTCAAAGAGAGTACAGTCAACGAGTATAGAAAGATCTAGTTCATGTTCAAACAAGACGTGTTTTTCCCGATAAGCCAAAGTCAACTGTCCTGTTCGACGTGGAGTTTATCGTGGAAGTAAACCGCACGACAAAACGGCAAACGTTAATTAGTTGCTTCACTGCTACCTTTGTCTGAACGTGCATAGTTTAGCTACTTTTTTTTTTTTTTATAATTTATCGATTTATTACAATGAAAGATAGCCTTTAGCAATGATCAAGAACAAAAAAACCTGTTACGAAGGATTTAGAATAATAACAAGGTAAAGAAAGCAAGTATCAAGATAAAACAACATAAAATAAGAGTAAAATACAATAATAATTATCAAAAAAAATGTTGTACTTTTCTTTTTGACTCGAGTAGGAGTTAAGCTCTTCTAAACATTCTATCTCAGTTCACAGATGACTCAAAACCTTATTTAAAATCTGGTATGTTTCAACTGCGTTTTTGTTTCTTTTTAATTTACAGAGGGATTCAGCGAAACGTTTTAATTCAGAGCAAAATGCAACACAATTTGGGTTAGAAGCTGTGACGTTACACTTATGAATATGACCTTTTCCAAGCAAGCACAGGATTTTAATAGCATTATTTAAAAGAGCAGATCCAGTGTTACACAACAAAAACAGGACCATTTCTTCTGTGATATCAATAAGGTTATTAAAGGAAGTAAAGATCAAAGTTGAAATCTCAATCCAAAATGGTACTATAAAGGGACACCTAAAGAACAAATGGAGCACTGATTCATTTTCAGATCCACAAAGAGAGCATTCTGGGTGAATATCCATAAATTTAGATAAAAATAACTTGCAGGGGTAAAAATTGTGAAAGATTTTAAGATGGATTTCTTTAACTTTGTTTGGTATCACAAGATTATTATGAACAGACCATATGTTACACAAAGATAAAGAAGGATAAATCCGTTTCCCATAGCTTAGCTGCTGACCAAAGATCATTTGAAAACCACCAAGGCAATCATATTTTTTCCCCCACAGTTTTATACATATTACTGTATGTATGTAAAGCTAATAATGTCTTTGTGGTGATAACTATTAGATATGTTTGGTAATATATAGATAATTAAAACATGCAATTCCCACTTTTTTATTTTAAACATTAGCCTATTTAAATTATTGTTCATTTCTAGATATTTGAGATGAAGAGATTTGACTAAAAGGTTTGTTTGACATCCTAAAGTTGATGATCAACAGTTCAAGCTAAGCACCTATTTTCACTGACAAACTGTTGAAAAAGACAAGACAACAAACAGCTCGTAAGGGGTTTAGGCCCCAATTTGTGCATATTTATTGGAAAATAACTGAACTGTTTTTCAGTCTCCAGCAGAGTTTGGTGAGATGCTTTATATAGCACAAGTTCTGTGTTTAAATACTGGTAGTCGCATGAAGTGACAATGTTAATTCAGTCAGTTCTTACATCAGCTTTGTATTAATAACAAAATAGGCTAATTTAAGTGCACTAGTTTTTGTGAGATGTGTTTTGATATTATATGCAAATATGTTTTATATATGTTCTTTTGCGGTGAGGTTTTGTGATAGGCTACTAGTTAGCTAACTAACCAAGGCCATGCTACTAGCACTTCTTTTCTCCTTTTAGGATTTCAGGAAATCCTCTATCTTTGTAATTACATTTGAAATACCTGATTAGTTTACTGCAGTCTTCCTGAATTAGCCTTTTCTTGCCTGTCATACAATTAGAACATGCTTGTGGATGATTGATCATTCCTCTAAACCTTTGTCCAGGAGATTTCATTGATTGTGTCAGTTTTGTTTAGATTATTATGTTATACTTGTTTGCGTTCAGATAACAGCACACTCTGTAGTTAAGTTTGTTCAGATGGTTCAATATGAGGATAGGAAACTTGGCTATTTATATCAACAGACACTTTAGAAAATGTTCAATTAAACCCAAGCATTTTGGATTACAAAGAAAATGCTTCATATTTCAAAATCTACAACCAATATTGCAAAATAACTGAACTGTTTTTCAGTCTCCAGCAGAGTTTGGTGAGATTCTTTATATAGCACAAGTTCTGTGTTTAAATACTGGTAGTCGCATGAAGTGACAATGTTAATTCAGTCAGTTCTTACATCAGCTTTGTATTAATAACAAAATAGGCTAATTTAAGTGCACTAGTTTTTGTGAGATGTGTTTTGATATATGCAAATATATTTTATATATGTTCTTTTGCGGTGAGGTTTTGTGATAGGCTACTAGTTAGCTAACTAACCAAGGCCATGCTACTAGCACTTCTTTTCTCCTTTTAGGATTTCAGGAAATCCTCTATCTTTGTAATTACATTTGAAATACCTGATTAGTTTACTGCAGTCTTCCTGAATTAGCCTTTTCTTGCCTGTCATACAATTAGAACATGCTTGTGGATGATTGATCATTCCTCTAAACCTTTGTCCAGGAGATTTCATTGATTGTGTCAGTTTTGTTTAGATTATTATGTTATACTTGTTTGCGTTCAGATAACAGCACACTCTGTAGTTAAGTTTGTTCAGATGGTTCAATATGAGGATAGGAAACTTGGCTATTTATATCAACAGACACTTTAGAAAATGTTCAATTAAACCCAAGCATTTTGGATTACAAAGAAAATGCTTCATATTTCAAAATCTACAACCAATATTGCTTACTCATCACTTAAAAATATTTTGATTTTAAACTAAAAGTTTATACTAAAATACACAAAACGAAACTCGGAAAGGCTTTGTACAAAAAGAGAGAAAATGTGTAAAAGAGCAGATTTATAAAGTGTAAAAACGTGCATCATTGTTCAGTGCGCTTTCCAGTTTATCTTTCCTAATGTGCAAATGTGTCATGTGCGCCACTGTCTTTTACAGCTTTTTCTGAGAACTTTTGTGTTACATAAGCTGCAGACGACATTACTGTGTATGGACACACTCGTACATGTTCGCTCCTCCCCCTTTGCTGTCACTCTTTCTCATGTCTTTACCTTTTTATACAGTCTATGGTCTTTACCTGAGAGAACAGTCACACCCAGCATCTTCAACCCCACCAATCACAGCACAGATGTGTTGACTTCCTGTTTCTGTGAGAGAGAAGCATGCAGTGCCAGTGAGGGTGAGGTGAGTGAAAGACTGAATTACTGGAACAAGCTGTAGCGCAATCACTGTGATTCTATTGAGTTTATGAGAAGTGAAGAAAAGCTGCATGCGAGCTTGAAGGTTACTTCTTGGGCTCCTTTTTAAGCTGGAGGGGGAAAGTAAAAGGAAAACAGAAACAGAAGGGGGGGAGGAAGATAAGTGTCAATCTGTTCAAACTTGTTTGGGAATTTGAGAAGGGCGGGAGGAGGGGATGAGAGAGAGAGAGAAAAAGAGAGAAAGAGAGGGAGGAACACTGCGAATCTTTTTACTTTGTTAAAACCTATTTTTGCTTATGTGAACACATTAAGTAGGACAGAGGCAGGCTGGATAATTAAATCAGAGTTTTCAGTAGAGCATTTATCACACTCAACTTTGGTTCTCTCAGTGGGCAAACACTGATATGTGGAATGTCTGTGAGTTGTGCAATTCCTGCTAGCTTCACTTTGTCAAGAAAGCAAAGGAAAAGTTGGAGAGAGACAGAGAAGCATCCCCCAAGACACTTCTCAGGTGAGTCTTCTGCATCATTCCCAAAACTTTTCATTCTTTCCTTTTTGTTGTAACTTTAGTAAACCAAACAGTTCTTGTAAACAAATATGTCCACATCGCAGGCAAATACTGCTTTGTCATGCTTGAGAATATTAATCTGTTTATTCTATTCACCACAGTCATTTTCTTATGAATCTGTTAATGTTAATTTGTTGTGCAATGTGCATCATGATCATATAATTCATTACATCTTGACATGAGTCAGCTATGTCGAAGACTTGCTCCTTTAACCTCTCTTAAATAGTGCTTCGGCTCTTCATAGGCATGAATTACTTGAAATGCCTCTGAACAAGATACAAGAATAGCATAGGGCAGTGGTTGGTTGAACTGCATTCTTTGTAAATTACTGAACTTTTTATTTTGCTGAACTGACAGACAGGCTGTATATCAGCTGTATATATAATTTATCTTATGAGTTCTTATTAGTTGAATTGATTTGCAGGAGTGTTAAGAGTAGTTTATAAATAAAAAATATAAATGGCAATGTGTGTTATGCATACTAACAGTATATTAGACTGATTTGAAGTGACTTGTTTGACAAGAACAGTATATCTGTTGCATTGAAGTTACTTATCTGGTGGAGTATAGTGCAAGAAACACCAAGGTCATGGCTTCAGCTGTCTGGGAATAAAAATCTGATAAAATTCATACTTTGAATCCATTCAAGTCACTTCAGATAAGCATCTGCTAACTTAATTAATGTTAGACATTCAACTTGACACTTTAAAAAAAATTTTTCAAGTAACTGTTTAAGCTGCCAAGGCATATACCTGACATGTTTCAACAAGATACTCCAACGTTTTAAAGATTTCAAAGAATATGTTTGAATGTTTTCCTCTTTGGAATATTAATTTTATATGGTTGATTGATTTATTGACTTTATTGATTGAATTTTGACTTTCCTTATAGGTTCTCTATGTTGCAATGGAAACCAGTCAAATTAATTGGGCCATCCAAGACACTGTGCAGATACAGTCCTCTTAAGGTGCACTAGACAGGTTGTCGATCAAGTGCAAACTGTGACCTGATTCCTTGAGCTAATTGACAAAGTTGACCTGGGTGAAAAAGAGACTTGTAAACACAGAAAGATGGACAAAACAAGAGAAAAAGAAATGGAGCCAGACACATGTGATGGGATTAGAGACAGGGAGAGATTTCTTGCAACCCGAAGAAGAGATGGAGAGATTGACTGCAGAGAAAGAGAGAGGCGGAGAAATGGAGATCGATGTGCAAATGGAAGCTCATCAGTGTCAGAGCAGGCTGAGTATGGAGATCGATACAATGAGAGGAGAAAAGGGGACACTTTTCCAAAGATGACAAAACCAAACAGAGTGAGAGACAGAAGGACACCACTTACAGACTATGAAAGAGAGCGTCACATGGGAAGACCGAAGGACATACTGTATGAAAAGGAAAGGAGGAGATACAGAGACATAGACATGCGGCTTGAAAGAGAAATTGAAAGAAACAGGGAGGAGCTGAGGAGAAATGAAATGAGAAGGCCCGTAAAGGAGGAGCCAGATAGACAGAGGGAACGAGACAGGGAGTTTGACTCAGGAATGAGAGATAGAAGGAGAGAAAGTTATCCAGGGGTCAGTGACCTTTCAGGCATGAGGGAAAGAGAGACAGACAGAGACAGAGAAAGACATCGACAAAGAGAAAGAGAGGGCAGATATTATCCTCGGCTCATGGAAAGAGAGACAGAGAGCTTTTCAGACAGGGAAAGGAGGACTGATAGACAAAGAGATGGAGAGAGTTCTAGGAAAAGAGATACAAAAAGTGAAGGAGACAGTGATGGAGACAGGGGTAAGGAAAGGAAGAGAGAAGAAGATGCTACACATAGACACAAATTCTACAAGAGTGAAGGAGACAGTGATGCAGGGCGAAGGGCAGACAAAGTTAAAGAGAGAGAGAGACGTAGAGAGAGAGAAGCCGAAAGATGGCGAGACAAGGCAGTAAGAGGAAGAGATTATCGAGAGACGGGTTACCATGATCCAAAAGTAGAAAATTCAGAACGACTCAAAGAGACAGATAAACCAAGAGATAGAACGAGAGACTCCAAAGACAAAAGAATGGACAGAGATGCTTACTTATACACAACTGAAAGAAGAAGGTATAGGGCTGGAGAAAAGATAAGAGATAGGGATAGGTATTCTGAAAAAGAGATTGAAGAGAGGGAGAGGCGGAGGAAAGAGTACAAAGAGACAGGGAGAAGTAAAATGGAGAATAGTGGAGAGCTGATTTCAGGAAGTGATATTGAGAATGAAAAAAGGAGGACAATGAGAGAGAACCTTGAGGACAGAGACAGAGAAAACACATCTGAGATTGATAAAGAGAGACTGGAGGAAAGAACAGAGGAAGAGCAAGAAGTAAGGATTACACCGAGGGAAGAAAAGAAGAGTGAAAGCTTTGCTGCTGAGGAAGCAGTTACAAAGAAACCTAAGAACAGGATAAGAAAAATGTGGCTGGAACCTCGAAGTGAGAGAAAAGAATCTTGTTTAAAAGAGGACACAGAGAGAGAGAGAGAAAGAGAGAGGTACATCCAAAGATACAAAGAAAGCATGACAACAGGAAATGAAGAAGAGCCTGAGAGAAGGAAACCAAGCAAGAGCAAATGTCTTGAGGACAAGTATAGAGAACTTGAAAGGGCTGGAGAGTTCATGAGGGATGTGGATGTAGAAAGGGAGGAGAAGAGGATGGAAGGGGACATGGCTTATGATAAAGAAGCCATGGAATCAGAGTGGCAGATGGAAAGAGAGAATGTGGCCGATAACTTGGAAGAAAATGATAGAGATGAACAGAGAAGCAATAATAGATATGACTATTTGGAGAATGAGGAAGGAAGTGAGGGAGAATCGGAAGCAGAGAAGAACAGAATGATGTCAGCAGATGACGGATTTGTAACAGTCTCCAGTGGAGGGGATGATGCGGAGGAAGAGGATTTTGAAGACTGCAAAGAATTCTGGGAAGGTGGAGTTCCCAAAGCTATCTCTGGACACTCGGGAACTACAGAGGACACAGAAAATGGGGCAAATGAAGCTCCAAAAGGACCCCTAAGAGTCTTTTGTGTGATTGGTCAGACCCATCCCACGTCACAAACCAATGAGAATTCATATGCACATCCTACTGTTGAAGAGGCAGCCAAACAGCATTCATGTCATAACATGGGCACTCAAGGTGAAATGAGCATAAATGAAGCATTTGAAAAGGTTGAACACTGTGAACAGGACATCGAAAGAGCAATGGCTGACCTCAGTCTTTGTCCTAATGAGGACAAAGGGGAGGGAGCAGGGAGTAATGACCAGACAACAGAGGGCGTAACATCACTGGAAGGCCAAATGATTCCTCCCAGTGAGCGATCAGAACAAGACACCCAACTCTTCCTACCAGAGTCTTCTGAAACTTCAGGGCCATCCAAGGATAATGGTCATGGGGGAACAGAGACTCATAGTGAAGACACAATACAAAGAGGAGCAAAAGAACCTACCGGAGACCCAGTGGAGCATTCTGGTTCTGATGAGACATGGAGCACATCTGAGGAACGAAAGCGATGCTCTACTGCTCCTCACCTTAGTTGGGCCAAGAACGTGGTGAGAGAGATCCTGGGTCGAAAGTCGGTGGACACAGAAAATGCAAGAGGTAGTGTGACACACATAGACACGCAAACCAACACACAAACAGAGGGTGAGAGAGAAATGGACGAATCAAGGAAAGAGGAAGAAATAATAGAGGGAGGAGAAGAACAACAGGGAGGGATGGAGAGAGAGTTGAATGCAAACCGTGACTGGCTGGATCCTAGTTCTAACCAGCACACGGTTTCCTCAGAAGGAGAGGCAGAGGGGAAGGTAGAAGAAGTATCTAAGAAGAAAGAGAGTAAAGAGGAAGTTGTTCTAAGCTCTAGTAGTTTTCGAGATTTGGGAAATGAGGCTCGCACGAGGAGGCGAGGGTTTCGAAAGTCAGCGGAGAAAACCAAAGAAGAGGAAGAGGTTGAGGAAGAGGAAGAGGGAGTTGGAAGGGACCGCAGGACGAGAATATTCAACAAATCAGGTGAGAGGAAGACTAACATAAGAAGGCTGACTTGGACATTCAGTGACCCACTTGCTCCCACTCATGTGAGGAGATCTAAATGTGTCTTGAGATGTCTGTTGAACCTATTCTATCAAATTGAATATACCAGTGGCATAATGTCATGTAGAGATGCTAAATGTGCTTACGCAAGAATGTAACACAGAAATCCATGAGTCATCTTCCCCTAAATAAGTGTCAATATGGGCGTTAAAATGGTTTATTTTCCTGTCATTTAATTGAGTGTTCCTAACATTTGAACAGTAATAAACAGTGAAAACTATTCACTGACAGCCTTGTGGCAGTTATGTTGGGACTGTGAGATCCTTATTTATAACCTCAGCGATGGAATAACATAAAAAAATTTATGAATATGCGATTATTCGCTCTACCTCAAAAGCAACTTTCTTTACCCACACCAAGGCCCTTCAGGCCAATGGCAGGGCCTTATAAACCATATGGTAAATTGAGCATGTGACAGTGTTTTGAATAGCATGGATGAAAAGTTCCACCCTACATTTTCTCTTGTTGTAAATACAATTTTTCTATTTAATCTGATACAATTGGGTCCTGAATGGTGTTTTATGTTCAAATGGATTGCTGGTGACTGTAGACACTTTAAATGAGAGCATGATACACCCCAGCGATTTCACAGTTTTCATTCATATTGACTGGGTCAGACATAATTTGTCAATGATGGATCTAATGCCAACAGAATTTTTTTTTTTTTTTTAAAGAGACCCATTCTTAGGACTTTAAAGAAATCTGAAACCACACAAACAGTAGACTTTAGGTTCTCATACCGCAGGAGTAACTAATAATGTATTCCCCAGCATTTTTTTTTTGGGTAGTCTCATTTTAAAAGACTGGAAGCTCCAGAGGGCTCCTGAGGATTCTTGTGGGGGTTGGAGTCATGACCACTGAAGACTCTTTAAACAGCAGCATTTCTTGGAAGAGACAGAATTTTGAGCTGCCAGATTTCCTTTGTTTCACAAACTAAACCGTTCTCATTCATTCATAACAAGTCCTCCCCCAGTACACGTTCCTGTTTTTTCCCCCTTCATATTTCTCATTGCATTAGGGTTATTTTTATTTATTGCCACATTTTCTTGAGAGGTATTGAGTTGCTCATACCCAGAGGTCTTACAGTCTAGTCTTATCTTTTCAGTTATTCACTGGAAAGCTTGAGGCAGTTCCCATGTGTACAGCTATGTAGAATCATCCCCATCTCTTTTGCTTGAGATGGAGTGTTACTGGATTTAGGCTGCTTAAATTCTGATCTTATCTTGGTTAAGGGAAGCTTAAGGTGCTAAAAAACAACATTGTGATGTGTGCTGATTTCTCTGTGTTTTGGTTTGTATAGATGATAAAGAGGACGAATTATGTCTTACCTGGAGTGAAATGGATCTAAGGTAGGAGAACATGTATACTGCATGTATAAACACTCTCATATTGTGTCCCTCATTAAAAATGTTTTCCATGTAAAGGAGTTCATTGTAATTTTGATAAATGTTTAAATCATGTGCACTTACATGAGATGACAACTCCAGGTGTGTCTGCCAAGCTTAATAAAAGCTGCTCTTATTTTACATAGAGCAGGTGGGTAGATATTTTTGGAGGAATGAGGCTGACTATGAATAGTAAATTTCTTCAATGGTGTCCTTAACTGAAAACTACTGTGTTTGTTTGATACTGCAGGCACACTGGTTCAAATGACATATTAGACAACTCAATTTATGCTCTATGATTCCCATTTATAATGTGCTAATATCTAAATTCATGCATTTTTTGGACATCTAATATTGTCCAGTTGAAAATTGAACAATATCAATCTTACAATCTTACAAATGACCATTATATCACAGATGTTCTTTGCTGTTTCTCTCTCTCTCCTTCTTACTTTTAGGAAACTTGGGAGGACAAGAAAGAGGAATTCGAAATTCTTTAGTAAGTCTCTGGATCGTCTTTATCTGTCTTGATCTTTACATGGACATGGCTATATAACCAAAGACTATAGGAACTTTGCTCTAACAGATTACAAATAAATATTTCTGTTTAACGTCTTCAAAATCCATTAAAACATTACTAAGACACATACAATTCCCAGTCATACAAATCCCAATTTCACACACACCCTTATGTATACATGGTAGTGTACATAATATGATTGTAACTGGCTGTAAAATATAGGAAATACATGGGTGGATACAGTTCAGATGTTGAGAGCAGGGAAAGTTTTGTCATTCCTGACTATGCTTACTTTGCTAGTACTCCAGGCAAAGAGCAGGTTTGTGCTTGCACATCACTTAGAACTGCAGATAAACAGTTGCAAATTCTCGCATAGTATTAAAAACTCTTTCTTGGATGTTCCTGCTTGTACATCTTTTTTTGCCCTGTTCAATCACTGACCTGCTGTGCTTGTTTGCTTTCTATGTCATTCTGACTTGATCTCTGTCTGACCTGGTGGATCATAGACAGGTTTAGCCTTTTTTCTGCTCTTTTTGCTAAAATTCATTTATATAAATGTATAAGGTATGATTATATGCATTTAGCATTGATTTTCTTTGTGTTCTGATGAGGGTCGTGGACAACAGAAAAAAAAACAATGCTAAATCTAAATGCAATTAAACAAGTTATGCATAGTTACTATGTATGTATAATACATAGTAAACTTCTCATAAGTATTTGTTGGTTTTTAAGCAAATTCAGCTGTTTTTTTGGGGCAGATTAGCCAAATTAGGCTGATAACAGCATAGACAAGTTGCATGCCATGCACTTATTCTTAAAAACCATGAACAAACCATAAAGGTAAAAGAAAATATGACCCAGGCTACATTAAATACGGGATCACGTGCAGTGAGAGTAAACATGGTTGGTTTCTGCCAACCACAAAGTGTTTTATACAAATTATTGTTTGCTTATGTAGTTCCTCCTGCTAATATTAATGTCAGTGCTTGATTTCAAGGACATGTGTTTATTTATTTTTTGATAAACAATTTTGGTTCCTTGTATCCAATGTAAAATCTGGGTCCAATTGAGAAGCACAGCTCTAGAACCATAGCAGTGATTTTGTCTTTCTCTTGCAGACTCTCAGTTGTATCAGGAGTACAGTGAGGTGGTCCAGAACAGAGAGATTCTGCTGTCTCATTCTGATTCTCTATCAATAAGTTCATCTTCCTCTCCAAATCATTCCCCTAAGTTATCACGCAGACCTCTCCCACCTCTCCCTCAAGTCCTCCAATATCAGAGATTGATGTGAGTATTTGTTTGCACCGATCTAAAGTGGGAAATGTGCTTTTCCTATTTTATTTTTGTCCATGTGATTTTTTTTGGTTTCATTCCACCATCTCTCATAGGGACGAGAGTCATGAATTCCGTAGAGTTGTGGAAAAGTTGGAGCGTAACCCGGTTTGTCAACGACTGCCCCTACGGTCTTTCCTCATTCTGCCATTTCAAAGAATCACACGCCTCAAATTGCTTGTGCAGGTACTGTCTTCCTCGGACCTGTTTAATTCTGCCTCTCACAGTTTTTGATGACACATTCCCTAACTTTGCAGGAAATGCCATGACTCATGCTTGCTAGGAGCACGTGCTTTCCCCTGCCTTCTTCGTATATGCTATATTAACATGATATTAGATACCATCCATCTCCTGTCACAAAGAATATGGCATGCTGCATTTCTAAATGCCCTCTTTTCTCTTGTCTTTGTTGGTAGAATATTGTAAAGAGAACTGCTCCGAAAACCAAGGATGAAGCACAGGCCATTAAGGCCATGAAACTACTTGAGAAGGTGAGACTCTTTATGTACTTGGAACGATGTAGTTATGTCACCCACATCTCTGCACTGGAATTTCTATCAGTTTTCTTTCTCACCACTGTCCCATGTTTCCTTGCTTCTTAACAGATGATCCAGGACGGTAATGAAAGTATCTCTCAAATGAAGAACATTGAGTCACTTGTGACCCTCAATGCCAAAGTTGACTTTGAGTGCAGGGTGAGCATGACATGTTTGGGAACCTAATTTGTACTGTATGCCATCTGAATAATAGTCAGAATGTACAATGAGTTATTTTGTGTCTCTTAGACTCTTCCATTGATCAGTCAGTCCCGCAGACTGGTACGAGAGGGACCTGTGACTGAACTGAGAGACTTTTCTCTGAAAGACAGGGAAGAAGAGAGAAATGTTTATATGCACCTTTTCAATGACTATCTCCTAGTCTCTTTGCGGAAAGAGTACGTTTGGCTTTCTTTAACATCCATACTTCAATTGTCATTCTTAGTCTTTGAGAAGTGAAATCAGGCTTTTCATGTTTAATGCAAATGATATCTTATGTTTTATGGTGCAATTACCGCTTAACTTCCTGTTTGCAGAGGGGGTAGGTTTACAGTTATCGATCATGCACCTGTGTCAGACCTGCGGGTTGAGAACTGCAGGTTTAAACTGCATTCCTTACAAAAAAACCTGTTCCATCTGCACATGCCACAAAAGGCCCTGCTCTTGCGGACAGATACCCAGTAAGTATGTCATTGTGTATGTCTATTATGAGAGAGAAGCTGATGCTATCTTGTAAACATGCAATGGCTGCCACGTGTGTATGCCTGTGAAGTCCTCATCCCTGTAGCGCAGGAACGTCCAGTCTTACTCCTGGAGGGCCAACTTCCAATAGAGTTTATATGAGTTACTCTTGAATTAGCTCTTCAGTATCTCTTCCCCCCAGGAGCGGGATTGGACACCCCTGCTGTTCTGCAGAGTTGGGTAAATTACTTACAAATTGTAATCCATTATTGATTCCAAATTACATGATAAAAATTTTGGTTAGTAACGTAATCCATTAAATTACACATTGTCGGTTATATAATCAGACTACTTTTAGATTACTCTGATACATTTTGTTTTGACCCATCTCATTTTTCATCTTGAACCGTATTGTACCATATTGATAAAAAAATACAAAGAGTAAGAAAATATATTCCATTTATTATTATCAACAACATGAAGTGCATTAAACATATTATGACAAGGTTTCCCAAACTGGGTTTATGAAGGAACTGTAGGGGGTTTACGAGTTCAATGAAAAGCTAATAATTAATTAAATCATAAAAATGTTAAATTAAAATGAATCAAAATAGAACACTTACTGAAATTTTTTTTATATTTTGTTTACCTGCATGTCATGTAACTATAACCAAGGTCAGAGAACCATGAACATGCAAATGTGATACTTCATTAATAAAATATTTATTTTAAAATCTCAGGTACTTTATATGAAAATACTGTATATTAGGTGAAAGAGGAACAGATGACAAAAAAAGTTGTGATTTTGTGCATTTTAATGCGTTTGCAAAGACAAAAAAAAGTAATACATGGTAAAATAACCGACTGAGTGATAATTCAAATAAAAATTAATGTGCTCATCAGAAGTTGATGCAACGTTGAAACACTTCTTAAACCTGGTCAAATGCTGTGTAGCCACCTGACTAATGACTGGTCTCTGTGTGAATGTCCACAAAACTGGAAGACTTTCTGAGTGTATATAAGCGGCAGGCTATTTTAAAAAGGACAATTTAAAAGATGAAAAAAAGGAATTAGGGAGAATCAATAAATTATGAATAAATTATTGCTATTGTGTAAATAATATATAATCATGTAATCCATAAAAAAGTAGCTGTAGTCTGATTACGAGTATTTTAAAAATGTAATTTAATTACAAGTAATTAATTTGGAATCTGATTACGTGATCCAGATTGCATGTTATCAGTTGCTACCCAGCTCTGCTGTAGTGTTTCCACATTTGCAACTTTGTCACATATTGGACAGCATAAATTCAGTTCGGTCCAGCAATCTTGTGTTTTGCAATCTGGTTGTGCAGAATATTGCGTTAAATTAACCTGTACCCATCTTTCATTTTCTATCATCTCTCAGAGCCAATAAATTGCGTTGGATATCAGCGCTCTCACGTCCTTATCCTGAGATTGACTTCAGTGCAGTTCAGGGTATGTGCGCTTCCTGCTTTAAAAGATACTGCAGTATCAAAGTAAATATTCTAATGCTAGTAATTTAACATGCTCTCTTTTTCCATTTGCAGACATTTCACAAGTGCAGTGCATCAGAGCATTTGTTGCCCAGCAACCAGATGAGCTAAGTTTAGAGAAAGCTGATGTTCTGTTAGTTCACCAGCAGAGTAGTGATGGTAAGTCAAATCTAATCACATGAACACAAGAAAAAGATATTTAACCACAAGGTTAAGAACAGTGCTAAGAACTCTGCCACTGCTTCCAGGAAAGCCAAGGTTTGTTCACATGTTAGGAATCACATTTGCCCAGGGGCGCCCAGTCCTGTTCCTGGAGATCTTACCTACCTGCAGAATTCAGATCCAACTCTGATTCAGCACACTTGTCTGTAATTATCAAGAGCTCCTGCATATCTTAATTAACTTGTTCAGTTGTCTTAGCCTAAAAAAAACACCCTAACCAATATAAACAAGTAGTCACCTTATAAAGTAGAACCTATGTTGGCCTTTATTTATAGTACATTTATTGTTTGTCTAGTTTAGCCCAAGTTTAGACCAAGCCTACATTCAGTAGAGATCCAAGGGATATGTGGTAAACTAGAAATATAACAACCCGTTAACACCCATCTTATGAGACTCCTCTCCATTGTTAATGCAACATACAATGAAAGAGTTCTTGGAGAACTTGTGTGGGTAGATCAAGATGGTGTTGTACTGGCATTCTGCAGTGTAACAAAAAGGGAGATACGATGCTAGGATAGGACAGAGATAGTCCCGGAATTCCAACCTGATTCAAGAACCTCCTACAGCTTCCTACAGTAAAGTTTTTCAAGTTGAACTGAGTTTTGTATTGCATGTACTGTAGATCATGACATCATCCATACATGTGTATATGGTAAGCAAACCTATAAAGGCCTCATGAAGCAAAGCGATGCATTTGTGTAAGAAAAATATCCATATTTAAAGCTGCAGTCAGTAACTTTTTTTGATTAAAAATGATATAAAATCAATTTTTGAGCAAGTACATAACCAGCCAGTGTTCAAAACTATCACCTTACTTTAGCCCGATTTATAATTTATAATAATAGCTTATAATAATGTTTTCTAATCTGAGTGGTACTGGTAGGAATTTGCGGGAAATTCAAGCATGCTGCTGTGTCATTACGTCACGTCTGTAAACATAAAGAAGTTGTCCCGGCTACTAGTCTATCGCATGTGAGGATCCTGCAGGTGGAGTATCGTTTATAGCCCTTTCTCACAGCTGGAATAATTCAATTGATCATTTTGATCACGGATTGTAATCCATAAAGTCTAATCTCTAATTGTCATACAATTCAAATTTGAATACACACCAACGTGTTAACATGAACAATTTGAGAACAAAGTATAACAGTAATAATAATTTGCACGGTTTGATGTGATATAAGCTAACTGATTGTTAAGATTAATCACCATTGTAGCGCAATTGTAATGATTTTCCCTCAGTTGGTCAGAACAAAAGTGTCAGACTTGTTACTTGTTTAGATGACAGTATACAGTGAAAATTCTTATTATATTCCTAGATGTAGGCTAGAATCTGTGATTCCTATGTACAGTATCCACACCAGTTCGGTGACTGACAGCCACACATACTCCTCAAAACATTAGATTAATCCGCGCTGGAGCCGTGCCGACGCACTAACCACGTTTAAGAAAAGAATTCCACAAATAACTGCAATTGCAGGTTTCAAACAGAGATGGCGACAAAGAGGCAAAATTTACGGACTGCAGCTTTAAAACTTCATAAACCGTAATCTCTTGCTTCCGCTAACTGTTGTTGTTGTTGTGCGCGCGTTCACAAGAGCGTGGCGTTTCAGCAGATGACATAGGCATAGCGTAAGCTCCGGTGAAGATATGCTTGAATCAGGAGTGTTTGATTAAGGAGACATACAAAATGTTCAATGTTGCTGATTCTCCAGGTCCAGATTTGGAAACCCCAGATCTAGGTCAGTGCTTTTCAAACCTGTCCTGGGGACCCCCAACAACTACTGCACATTTTGTATGTCTTCCTCACAGGTCACACCAAGTTAAAGTATCGCAGACTCTACTAATGAGCCGATGAGTTGAATTAGGTGCGTTAAATAAGAGAGACATACAAATTATGCAGTGGTTGGGGTCCCCAGGAAAGGTTTGAGAAGCACTGATTTAGGTCACTGTAGAACAGGAATGTCCAATCTTGCTTCTAGAGGGCCACCTTACTGCAAAAATTAGCTCCAACACACCTGCCTGGAAGCTTCTTGTGATCCTTAAGACCTAGATTAGCTAGTTCTGGTGTGCTTAATTAGGGCTGGAGCTAATCTCTGCTGGAAGGTGGCCCTCCAGGAGCAGGATTGGACTCTACCGTTGTAGAATGTATGGTGAAAGTCAGAAGCAGTTGGATTTGGCTCTAAATCCCGAGAGAGGGTTCTTCTGTCATCAGATGTGAAATTCATGTGACTCATTCAAGGTTAAGAACAATATTTGGGATGACTGTTCCAGCTGCACCTGGATAGACTCTGTATTCCTTATTTGGACCAGTATTATTAACAATGCACACATAGAGATTTTTAAGACTGATATAACCATTCTTTCATGACTAGGGCATTCCTAGTTACCACAGTTTATGTAAACAGGCATATTTTCCCACACACTGTAAATGATTGTATTACTAATGAGTTGTCATCATAGTACTGATAAATGAACTCCACTGAGCATATTCTATATGTCTGTTCTCAGGAACAGTTCAACAAGTTCCTAGTCAACAAAGCAAGTTCCTAGTAGCGCGCTGGAGCCGTGCCGACGCACTAACCACGTTTAAGAAAAGAATTCCACAAATAACTGCAATTGCAGGTTTCAAACAGAGATGGCGACAAAGAGGCAAAATTTACGGACTGCAGCTTTAAAACTTCATAAACCGTAATCTCTTGCTTCCGCTAACTGTTGTTGTTGTTGTGCGCGCGTTCACAAGAGCGTGGCGTTTCAGCAGATGACATAGGCATAGCGTAAGCTCCGGTGAAGATATGCTTGAATCAGGAGTGTTTGATTAAGGAGACATACAAAATGTTCAATGTTGCTGATTCTCCAGGTCCAGATTTGGAAACCCCAGATCTAGGTCAGTGCTTTTCAAACCTGTCCTGGGGACCCCCAACAACTACTGCACATTTTGTATGTCTTCCTCACAGGTCACACCAAGTTAAAGTATCGCAGACTCTACTAATGAGCCGATGAGTTGAATTAGGTGCGTTAAATAAGAGAGACATACAAATTATGCAGTGGTTGGGGTCCCCAGGAAAGGTTTGAGAAGCACTGATTTAGGTCACTGTAGAACAGGAATGTCCAATCTTGCTTCTAGAGGGCCACCTTACTGCAAAAATTAGCTCCAACACACCTGCCTGGAAGCTTCTTGTGATCCTTAAGACCTAGATTAGCTAGTTCTGGTGTGCTTAATTAGGGCTGGAGCTAATCTCTGCTGGAAGGTGGCCCTCCAGGAGCAGGATTGGACTCTACCGTTGTAGAATGTATGGTGAAAGTCAGAAGCAGTTGGATTTGGCTCTAAATCCCTAGAGAGGGTTCTTCTGTCATCAGATGTGAAATTCATGTGACTCATTCAAGGTTAAGAACAATATTTGGGATGACTGTTCCAGCTGCACCTGGATAGACTCTGTATTCCTTATTTGGACCAGTATTATTAACAATGCACACATAGAGATTTTTAAGACTGATATAACCATTCTTTCATGACTAGGGCATTCCTAGTTACCACAGTTTATGTAAACAGGCATATTTTCCCACACACTGTAAATGATTGTATTACTAATGAGTTGTCATCATAGTACTGATAAATGAACTCCACTGAGCATATTCTATATGTCTGTTCTCAGGAACAGTTCAACAAGTTCCTAGTCAACAAAGCAAGTTCCTAGTAGATACTAATGTTGTTTTGTCACAAGCAGAATTCAAGAATTGCTAATGGATGTTTTTACAAACTCGGTGCAAAATTCCATTTATGATTCTCTCCTTTTTATTCAGGCTGGGTGGAAGGAACTCGTCTGTCAGACAGACAACGTGGTTGGGCCCCTGAGTCTCATCTGGAGACAATAGTCAGTGACAAAGCAAGAAAGCGCAATCTGCTGGACACCATGAAAATTGCTTCAGCTGCAATGTGAAGCAATATGTATTGCCTTCAATGTTCTCAGGTGGACTTTTTCAATTACAATTTTTTAGTATTACTTTAAAGCCTTCAAGAATTTTAAGGATTTATGTCTCAACTTCATGGGAAGTTTCTATTTATTTTGTGTATACACTCAAGCTGATAAGGGTGATGTGGGTGTGATGGCCTCACCCATGTCAGGGTACTACTCCACACCCTGCAAAAGGGTCTGGCAAGATGCTGAATTACAGCAACTGAACTTCTTAGATACCTTATGGACATTGACGGACTTTGCAAATGGCACAAATGCATCCATATGCAGTACCTGCTCCAAATGAGTATCTATGCAGCTTCCATAGTGTTTCTATAAGACTTTCTTAAAATTTGGAAGTAGGGAGTCATTCATGGGCAGAGATTTGGACTACAGTCTGTTGTCCTCAATCTGAGCAAGCCATCTCACTGAGGAACCACGACAGCTGGATATAAGACATAAGCTGGATCTAAGTCGGCGTGTAACGCTGAATACTGCACCAAAGCTACTTGTTCTCTGTTATTTATAAACATCAGATCCCCTTCAGCGTGGAATATAAATGCTGTCGGACTGCAGCCTGATGGGAATACAGTTTGAAGAGTTGTTGGTGTGCACTAGGGCACAAGATGCAAAAGGACAAATTATTAATAGCTGTGAAAAACAGTTTAAAACAGACTTTAGCAAAGTGCAAATTTTATTTAGGATCAAGAATTATGGATGCCTACTTTTTAAGACCAAAAAGTGTACAATACCCAAGCTTGTCTACAATGTACATAATATAGGTTTTTAACATAAAAGCTAAAAGTATTATTTTTCATGGAGTAATTCCATCTCTGCTTCCTGTTCAAACTGATTAGCATATAACTGTAATATGCCTTAAAAAATAAACAGATAATTAGTTTCCTGAAAGAACATTTCATGGTTTAGCAGATGGGGTTTTTAGTCTTATCAAGTGCACTTTGAAGAATTATGGGAAGGACATTAGGTGGCAAGAGCTTAAGAAAGAAGAATCGGAATGAAAGAGTAAAGTGGCACAGGATTCAGTAGGAAATCAAATGCTTTAGTGTGATTTACAATACGACGAATCAATGAACATTTCATTATGTTTCTTTAAGTATGACAAAAAAGACCAGACTATATAAACAGCTTCTTGGCTATATGGAAATAAAAAAAACACAACAGTGGAAAATGGTTTTGTGATCAACTAAACTGTACTTGAAATATTCACAAATGATTGGTTCCTGAGGTGAAACTGAAATCTACTTGAGCCCTGACCCGTAAACAACAGTAGCAGACAGGAAAATGACATTAAAAAGTTAATGCAAATACAGTAACACTTCACAAACAGGTTCAATTTGTTAACATTAGTTAATGTATTAGGTATCATGAACTAACAAAAGAAAATAATTTTAAGAATTAATTTAGGTTAGTGTTCATTTCTACATATACTAATACATTTTTAGAATTTCAAGTTTTATAAATAATGTATTACCCTAGTAAAAAAAAGTGATATTTAAAATACATTCATTTCATTCTTAGTATAGTTCAAATCTATTAACATATTTACTGACACATTGTTCGAGACTTAGGGATATAAAAATTAGAATTAAACTTTATTTTGAGTACTACTTGTGCACAATGCACATTTTTTAATATTAAGCCTAAAATGTGTTTTAATGTCACAACTGTTGAGGATTGTATGATCTTTGAATAATATTGGTCTTTAATTGTAAGATATTTAAAGTGTACCTAAAGTATACTTGCAACAGTTCCACTTTAGCACAGTCAGTACTTCAGTATATCTTTAGTAAGACCTCAGCACTACTTCCGGACAATTAAAGTTCATTAAGTACAAAATTAGTTGTTCCGATTCAGCAGACTTTAAGTATATCGGTTTAGTATACTGTAAGTACAATTGCAGGATATTTTTTATTAAGTACATAAATATGTAAATGTATATGTAGTATACTTAGCATGAAATAAATGTATTTTAAGTACATTTTAGTATATTTATTTTTCACTAGGGTATAAATGGGAATAAATCAACAATGAACGATAGGTAATGCTGTTCATTTTCGTTTAGTTTAGGCCCGGTTTCATAAACGGGGCTTAGCCAAAGCCAGAATTAGGCCATAGTTCAATTAGGACATTTAAGTAATTTTTATAAACATGCCTTAGAAAAAAGCATTACTGGTGTGCATCTTAAGACAAAACAAAGGCACTGACATGTTTTAAGATCAGACAAAGTTTCTTTCAGTTGAAACAGCTCAGATTTACATTTTAGTCTAGGACTAGGCTTAAAGGGATAGTTCACCCAAAAATGAAAATTTGATGTTTATCTGCTTACCCCCAGGGCATCCAAGATGTAGGTGACTTTGTTTCTTCATTAGAACACAAACAAAGATTTTTAACACAAACCGTTGCAGTCTGTCAATCTTATAATGGAGGTGAATGTAATCACGGCTTTGAGAGTAAAAAAAAAACATACACAAACAAAACCAAATTAAACCCTGCGGCTCGTGAGGATACATTGATGTGTAAAGACACAAAACGATCGGTCTGTGCAAGAAACTTCTTGTGATCCTTAAGACCTAGATTAGCTAGTTCTGGTGTGCTTAATTAGGGCTGGAGCTAATCTCTGCTGGAAGGTGGCCCTCCAGGAGCAGGATTGGACTCTACCGTTGTAGAATGTATGGTGAAAGTCAGAAGCAGTTGGATTTGGCTCTAAATCCCTAGAGAGGGTTCTTCTGTCATCAGATGTGAAATTCATGTGACTCATTCAAGGTTAAGAACAATATTTGGGATGACTGTTCCAGCTGCACCTGGATAGACTCTGTATTCCTTATTTGGACCAGTATTATTAACAATGCACACATAGAGATTTTTAAGACTGATATAACCATTCTTTCATGACTAGGGCATTCCTAGTTACCACAGTTTATGTAAACAGGCATATTTTCCCACACACTGTAAATGATTGTATTACTAATGAGTTGTCATCATAGTACTGATAAATGAACTCCACTGAGCATATTCTATATGTCTGTTCTCAGGAACAGTTCAACAAGTTCCTAGTCAACAAAGCAAGTTCCTAGTAGATACTAATGTTGTTTTGTCACAAGCAGAATTCAAGAATTGCTAATGGATGTTTTTACAAAGAAACTGAACAGTATTTATATTGTTTTTGTTACCTCCCTGAGCGACGGCGTGTCCTCCTGAGCGTGTTCTCAACAGCAGGCGCGCGAGGTGTCTTCTTCTTCTTGCTTTACGGCGGATCGCAGATTTATAAGTGCATTACCGCCACCTATCTCTCAAGTGGACCATTGACACTCCTAATTGAGATTGTATATAGAGTATCAATGGTCCATTTGAGAGATAGGTGGCGGTAATGCACTTATAAGCAAGAAGAAGACGCGTCCGAGAACACGCTCAGGAGACGCGCCGCCACTCAGGACAGTTCGAACAGTTCGGACATTGCGTGAATCAGAGGTAACAAAAACAATATAAATACTGTTTAGTTTCTTGCACAAACCGATCGTTTTGTGTCTTTACACATCAATTTATCCTCACGAGCCGCAGGGTTTAATTTGGTTTTGTTTGTGCATGTTTTTTTTTTAACTCTCAAAGCCGTGATTCCCATTCACCTCCATTATAAGACTGACAGACTGCAACGGTTTGAGTTAAAAATCTTCGTTTGTGTTCTAATGAAGAAACAAAGTCTCCTACATCTTGGATGCCTTGGGAGTAAGCAGATAAACAGCAAATTTTCATTTTTGGGTGAACTGTCCCTTTAACTGCAGTAATATGCTGTAGTAACCTGACTTAACCACAGATGGCAGCAATGTATACACTGAGTTAGTTTGCTTTAGTCAATAAGCCACGGTGAATCTATGTTGCTTTATCTGCTAGAGCCTGTCCTATTTATGGAATAACCTCGGCCCTGAGGGGGCTGTAGACTTACTTTAATCTCCTCATAGGAGAGTGTATGTGAGAGAGAGAGGCAGGAGTGAGAAGTAATGTGTGTGTGTGTGTGTGTGTGTGTGTGAGACAGAATGTCTGACATAGCTAACAGGTCACACACACATTTGAATACAGACAGAATTGACGGTTAGATGACCTATTTTTTTTGTACATGGGGACAGACAGGTTGCGATAATATGACCAGTGGATTCTTACTCATTTTTGCTAGTGGGATATATAGATTGCATTTAAAATACAAGATGAGAACAAAGTAGAAGCTCATGACAACAAACTGCCCCAGTGTCAGTATGAAGGCATGTGGGCACATGAATGCTGGGTCTGCGTAGTACAGCAATGCCTGGCAGCTGAGGGCATTCAGATTCATTCTTTATGCCAGACGTCCAAATCTGATATTCATACATCAGGAAAGGATTTCTCCACACCACTCACTGCATCCATCAGTGTCAGGTTTTTCATCTATTATGTATTCAAATTAATAATCTGGCACTTTAAAAATTTCAGTGACTGGAAGAAGTCAGCCAAACAATTTGCTACATGAGATACTTTTCTGTGTAACATGCACTACTAGGGCTGCACGATTAATCGAATGCGATTGTCATGCGCATTTTGATAGTAATGTCGGTTCTGTAATCAGCAGTAAATCATCATCACGTGCTTTCAGATGGAGCAGCCTTTACTACACATAGCCGTAGTTCACTGACAAGTTACGCAGACGATTTTATTGCGCGATTATGAAATCGAAGAAATCGTTCGCGATAATGACAGCTGTTTGCGCAGCCTCTCAGTGAACTACGGCTCTGTGAAGTAAATGCTGCTCCATCTGAAAGCATGTGAAAATACCACATTTAATAACATATTTTTACTCCAGACTCACTTCATAACGTCAGTCGAGTGTTTGAAATAAATCCTTCTGTGAGATGATGTGGCTTCTCACACAGAATAAGGCACGCAACATATTTCATAGTATTTAAGCAGTGATAAAGGCATTGCATTGTGGACCATTGACACTCCTAATTGAGATTGTATATAGAGTATCAATGGTCCATTTGAGAGATAGGTGGCGGTAATGCACTTATAAGCAAGAAGAAGACGCGTCCGAGAACACGCTCAGGAGACGCGCCGCCACTCAGGACAGTTCGAACAGTTCGGACATTGCGTGAATCAGAGGTAACAAAAACAATATAAATACTGTTTAGTTTCTTGCACAAACCGATCGTTTTGTGTCTTTACACATCAATTTATCCTCACGAGCCGCAGGGTTTAATTTGGTTTTGTTTGTGCATGTTTTTTTTTTAACTCTCAAAGCCGTGATTCCCATTCACCTCCATTATAAGACTGACAGACTGCAACGGTTTGAGTTAAAAATCTTCGTTTGTGTTCTAATGAAGAAACAAAGTCACCTACATCTTGGATTCCCTGGGGGTAAGCAGATAAACATCAAATTTTCATTTTTGGGTGAACTATCCCTTTAAGCCTTGTCTGTGAAACCGGGGGCTAATGTATTAACTAATGTTAACAAACTGAAACTTTTTGTAGTGTTCCCACAAACATGACCTGATGGTTAGGAAGAAGAAGATTGTGATGTAAAGAGAAACTTGCTGTTTTTTATTAGCCACTTGGAGGTTTCAATATGTGCTTGAAGGAGCCATGAATAGTCTAATCTCAAGCACGCTGCATATTAACAAACACCCAACATGCATCCAGACGTAGACAGTGAATTCGACAAACACACAATCAAAGACACACACACACTTCAGCACCAAGTAGAACAGGAACATCTCTGCACTCACTTCCTCACATAACATTATCATCTACACTATGCGGTACTAGACTAGACTAGTGCTATTACCAACTGTTTTAACATGTATTATCACTGATTTACACTATATAAACTTTGCACATGCTGAACAGTCAGTGTCATCTAATAGGAGACAGGCCATGATTAAGGGAGACACATGCACAAACACTCCACAAATCATATCCAAAGAGGTTCTAATGAGAACGTACAAAGCTGCTTGCAAAGAGTAGCACAGTGTTAAAATAGGAGGAGTGCATGGGTCTATGCGTGCACCACTTTTTAGAAGAACCTAAATTTCAAAAGTCTTTCAGTCTGTCAAGTAAGTTCTACGAGATACAGAGAACCAGGACACACGCTTGGGACAACTGAGTGGATGGAATGACCCAA